TTTTTGACCTTCTTCGGTTTTGTCACCTTGAAACCCGGACCGGCTCTGGCGTCCACCACCTGAGCAGGGCAAAATTTTACAGCCAGGAGGGACAATTATCGACTCAGCTCACGACAGGACAGGTTGTCATTTGGGTTGGCGGAAAAAAAAAGCAGACGTCACTCACATGATTCCAGTTCTTCTTGGAGCCGTGGGGCAGCTTCTTCCACCTCTTCACCAGCAGCACACACGCGTTGCAAATGTCCCCGACACGGTCCTCAGAGAGTCTTAACAAACCAGTGCAAATGACAAGTTTGAGTTTGACACCTTGATGCTTTTATACAACTGATCTATGATCGCAGAAGTTATTTTTTTATTATTATTTTTACCCAAAACACAGCCTGAACGTCTCCTCATATCTACTGCTGTCTGTGAAGCGTGAGCTGGAGGACTTGGTCTTGCAGATGCAACAGCCATCATTACTTCTGTAGATCTTCGACTTATGGAAGCCAAACATGTTCCTCTTTTCTGGTTGGCCTCAGGCAAATAAAACTGGAAAATAATAAGAAATAAAAAAAGAGCACAAGGTATAAATCCTTCCAGTGAGAATAAAGCACACAATGAATTGTCTGCAGAGAGTTGTGATTTCTGCTGCTGGAAGGGGGGCGGTCCCTACGCGTACACACACAAATATTCAAACCCTTCTAGCCTACAATTACAACAAATATTACAAGCACACACTTGTAAAGTGTCCAAATATTCGAGGCTAACAACAATAACACAAGGCTACTGCTAAAACCTACTAAAACTATAATTTTAGATCAGTTAGGTGTAGTCGCGCACATTAATAAAAACAACTTTAGGYTAAGATGTTACGCCCACAACAACACAAACACCGTTTTTACTATCGCTCTAAGGCGTTTGTGTCGACTTTATGAACAAATACCTACTAATCGAAGAACGTGCGAATGTATTTGTGCAAAAATACTTAAATATTTTTGTTATTAGACGTGGGTAAAAGTGTGGATTTGACACTGGTGTGCAGCTGAACGACCCGAAACAAAAAGCGGGCAGCTGCACTTTCTGAAGTCAAGAAACAAAAAGCTACCGAGCGARTCATGGAAACAGCACCGTTTGAAAAAAATATATATATATAAAAAATCCAATGCAACTAGAGCAAGACACATTTCGTGCAAGTCGTTTATGTTTTTACTAAATACACAASAGAAGAGAACCCTCGGTTCCCCTTTAGATTCAAACTTTTACTCGCGAAGTGCGCCAAATATGGCTCATTGTTGTTAGCTGTTAGCATGYATGCTAGCGCCACCACGCCACGCTCTCGTTCACTTCCACGTTATTCCATTGTCGACACGGTAAGCCKGCACGTTTCACTCGCAACAGCAAAKGCAAAGCGAYCAGCGGACACSTCAAGTRACAAATGCGTCAAGGCTCTGACCAGTGTCGCTGTAAGTAACACGTCTACGACAAATTAGAGACGTATTTTGTGTAGAAAGGATAAAACAWTGTACTTACTGAACAAAAACTTTGAATCTTCGCCGTCTTCTTTTCGCACACTGCGCATGCTCATACTACTGCTGATGCATACAGCTGGTCATTAACATTATTTTGCATAAAAAGCTGGAATGAAAGCGTCCYATGACCATATAAGGAGTGCAACTGTTGGGTTTGAACCCGGAGCCAACCAATCAGCGCCGTCCTCGCGTACTTCTCCGGAGGACATGAATGATGGGAGGCGTAGTAGAGAACGAGCGGGAAAGCGCTGTTAACGAGCTCTCGTGAACTCAAAATCCCACAAGCCACTTCGGTCCAACAGCTACATGACATGGCGCGAACGAGTTTGTTTACGTTTCCAAAGCGGAGAAAAAAAATAAAAGTAATATAAAACTAATATAATTGTTTTAACCTCTCTGTGTAATAAATCACAACTGCACCATATTATTAATATAAAAATTAAAATAACTTGTGTTTTAGACCGTTTTCGTCCATTTAAACAAATACAATTTAGAGCCATTTTGTTAAATTCTGAAGGGGAAATAATAAAAATAACAGTAAGTTTTCAAATTGAATAAAATTAATATTATTTTTGTGGAGAAAACAGATAARAAATCCAGGCATAAACAAATCACTAAACTCAGGCAAGTCCACTATAATGCATTACAGATCCTTTATTCTTAATATATTTTTACACTGTACAATGTTGCTCACTTAGTAAACACTAAATTACACACCTATATTGATAAATGTACAACTGTTTTGGAAAAAGAAAAATAGATATCTCCCAAGATGCTTGTGTGGGTCATACACAGATGAGTACAACACAGTCATTCCAGATGTTGTTGGCACGGCAAAGAAGTCCATCACATATCAAATATCCTTTTTTTTTTTTCCCACAGCAAAGTTCTGAGAAAAGCCCAGTGATTTCTCAGTTTTCTCTTGTGGATATTGCATAGCAAGAAACCATGATGACAAAATCAGAAGATGCGGGGCTGGGCGGGGAAGCAGTCCTTGTAGCTCCTCACACGATAATCAGGAGGTCAGAATTCAACACGTCTACTCAAGATCATCACGTTATTTTCAGTTCAAAGAACAGTACATGTAGTGTAAGGGCTGCAAAAATAGTAGGAGGGAAAAGCTGGCTGGAGGTATTTACACTGAAGGCTGAATTTGTGATCCACTTCACAAAGAAAGCTGGGTCAAGCATCTCTTGGAGGGCTTGTGTCCGAAACACAAGACTGTGTGTTTTCCTGAATCCAACTGTCCGTCACGGAGTGTAGGCTTGAGCCATACAGTCCTATCATGCAAGGATTCTTCTGAAGGTAATCCATGTAAAAGGTCTGCATACATGTATGTTTTCCAGGGAAAAAAAGGCCCAAACTTCAACAGCCTTTTTTTTTWAACTTCCACTTGGGTAATCGGCTCCCATTCGACAAGCCTCCCTGCCATACACATACTTATAAAGCATACTTCTACATCGTTTGCTTTTGAAGCTCCGCGTTATGACATTAAAATCGAAGTTAACAGAGCAAGCAACTTCTCTAATTTAACAAAATAATACTGCTTTATCTGAAAATATATTAACAGTTTATCCTCGCTTTTTCCCTTAAATATAACCGTTGTCATCAGTTCACGATAACAATGAAAATATTTAGCTTTAAGTAAAACATTATAGCACAAGGTTGTCATCAGTAATGTGAAAACCATGGTTCATAATAGAAAACGTATTCTCCACATCTAATGGCATCATCAAGGATAAAAATAACAAATCTTGAAAGGCTCATTGCACTTCTTACTGTATATATGGCAAAAATGACAGTAGCTTTAACATAAGCCAGAAATTTATTTCTTTTTTTCTTTTCTTCAAGTCTGTTCCTGCATATAAAAAGGTTCAGTCACTTTTTTAGTGGTCATCGGTGATCCTGTGTAGGTACGACGAGTGGGAAGGGGTTTGGATTTAGATACCAACGCCTTTGATGAGCGACGCTTCCAGTGTGATGTTAAACTCCTGCAGAGTCTGTAGTACTCGTATCAGAGAGTTTACCAGTGAGCGCTCTTTAATCAGTGCAGTGTCCTCATACATCTGAGAGGTGATGGGACAATCTGCCAGCAGAGCAATCCAGTGATGCAGCAGATGGTCCCTAACAGAGAAACACACAGTCAGGTTCACATTACATGTGCCATTTTTAATCCTTAAAGTTAATGCTTTTGCTATAAAACATGTTAAATTGGTGATTTTGTTCATTGAATTAATATTTCTATCAACACGTCAGTAGTGTTCACTGCATCTGAACAAGAGGCTGAGTTTGTTTGCATACCTCGCGCCCAGACAGACGAGCACCTGGAACTTCCCGTCTTTGCCGATGTTCCTCGACGTGTTGTTGATGGCCCGCATGAAGCGGCAGAAGTGGCGCACTCTGGTTTGCCAGTTCTCATCTGGAGCCACCTCCCGCTGCTCGGCACTTTCAAAGTAAACTTGTGCCTTTTCTGTCGAAGGGTAAAAGTGACCAAAAACGTTATTTTATTATCACACAARTCAATTAATTATTAATAAACCTATTTCAAATATTAACACCGACTACAAGAGGTGCTGCCTAATGTTTGTATTGTTTCAGAAAGGCCTTGAAAACACAGGATCATGGGCAACTGTTTAACCCCACAGGTCTGTTGGTCTGTGAGAGGCGACGTCTTTACCCAGGAAGTCCCAAATGAAGACGTTCTTAAAGAGTCGAGGAGACTTGAAACCGTGTTGGAAAACTTGCTCCAGTGCCCAGACGAGGCCYTACTCCCCACACAGGAGGAGGGTCAGGCTGCCTCGCTGTGGACAGAACAAAAGCACAGAGTTGGATTTTAAATGAACAGTATTTTAATTATTGTTTTGTTTGCTTTAATTTGATCCCAATAGCTGCTCAGGTTCGACAATCTCATTAAATTACTAAACCAACGTACAGTTATCCTAATCATCAGTTAAAATGAGGAKGAAAACACTTTGAACACAAATTAAAATTGTGTTAAATTAAACAAATGTTTGGTATTGTTAGGTTTGACGTTCGATTAAAATAGTATGCTATATCATACTTTGTATACCTAATTAAAAGACAGTCACGAATTGAAAAATAAAATATACTTTGAATTAAAGTGCAAGTGACAAATTTTTTGTGATAAATATGAATGAATTTTTGGAAAGATAACATTAATAACATGTTGCAAAAAAAGTTTTATGACACTGAGATGAACAGTTGTTGAGATATTTGCCTGTGAATTAACAGGAAGTGATGTCAAAGGGGAATGTCTCAATGTAAACAGCATTGCTACGATGGCTGACAACACAGATTGTAGAGAAGAATCTGATGTTTTATTAGATTCTTTTGAGTCACTATCAGAGATTAAAAAAAAAAGACAGAGTTCAAATAATGTTTTAATATAGAAAGACTAGGGAGTTCCTTTTGGTAAAGAGTTCRCCTTTGATGTCACTTCCTGTTTCACTTTAGCTGAACCAAGTTCAAAAGAAAATAGGCCAGTTATGTGACAAAAAGGATTAAATCATGTGTTTTATGCCGTTTCTTAAATATAAAGTTGTTTTCTTTGACTTCTTGTATTTGAAGTAAATGCATGTCACAGGTACTTTAAAAACTGTTTTTGTTTTTAAAAGCCTTCTTCATTGTTCAGTCTCTATTGGAGGTGAAACAAAAGTGAAGGGGATTTCCCCCTAAAAGTCCTTTATTAACAATGACTTCCTCTTAAACCCTGTTWTCAAGCCACAATGCACTTAAATCATCCTCAAAGAACATCTCCTTTTAATTAAAGATATCACACCACCTGCCTTATTACGCAGTAATCCTGTATTTATATGTATCTTATATTAACATGTAAAAGCACAGTTCTCTTAAACCCGTCTCAGTTTTCCTCAACGTRTCCCAGGACCCTCAGCAACTGAGGGTCTTGAGGAGGGGAGGGAGCAGACCGATGCTTTTCTTCATTRGCGATGAATAATAGAAGTACGTGTTTAGACCTGTCTAGACGGCGGGTCCCTCACCTCCTTCTCCGGTTTGTGGAAGTGCTTCACAATCCCATTGATGGCCTCTCCCACTCCCTCCTGAATCTGTCCTGTGTTTAACTCTGATGGTGGAGATAAAATAAAAAAAAAGATAAACACAGGTGCACTAAAAAAAATACACTCATAAGAAATATCCAGCCAAGTTTTATGCYCTTGCTATGGTTTCATAGATCATGCATTTTTTTCCCCTTGAATGTGGGACACGGTGTTATGACGGCTGCTAAATAAAAACTGAAGAAGACAAATAATAAAACGTTCTCTTCAGGATTGATTTTAGGTTAGCCATGGTTATAAAGATGAGTAACTCACTTGGTTTGCTGCTTGGTGAGATAGTAACAAATCTCCTCATCATCCCTGGAGACTGCTGCATGGGTGGTGTTCGACACATCCTCTCGTCATTCTCAGAGCTGGGGGTGATCAGTTCTCCCACCAGTATTCTTTCCAAACTGCCATCATCCACTCCCTTCCCCAACCACCGGCCACACGGAAACCTAACACCAAGAGCGCGGAGCTGATCTTAGAGAAACCACGTTTTCCCCATCAAACACAACAATTAGGATCTCTCCTGTGAGGGTGACTTACTTGTAAGTGTGCCCCGTGATCTCGTTGCGGACCACCACACACTCCACGAGCCACTTAGCGTAGAGACCTGAGTTATCGTGGCCCATCTGCACCGTGGTAAGCTTGCCCAGGTTCTGGCACTGTAACAGAGGGAACCAGGTTCATGCCAGACACCAAGAATCAAAACATGTGCTCAAAACAAAAGGGCAGTTTTGGGTTTCTATCTATTTTTAAGTATATTCAAAATTTTTTTTGAATCGGTACCATTTTTGTCTAAATTCTCATCAACAAGAATTATGACCAGAAAAATAAATTAAATTAAATCTCTGGAAAAAAAAACAAAAGAAGAAGAAGAAGTAAAAAAATAAAATAATGCCAGACACCAAGAATCAAAACATGTGCTCAAAACAAAAGGGCAGTTTTGGGTTTCTATCTATTTTTAAAGTATATACAAATATTTTTTTGAATTGGTACCATTTTTGTCTAAATTCTCATCAACAAGAATTATGACCAAAATAATAAATTAAATTAAATCTCTGGAAAAAAAAACAAAAGAAGAAGAAGAAGTAAAAAAATAAAATAAAACGAGACTGTTTTAAATAACATATAGGCCTGTCACGATAACAAATTTTGCTGGACGGCAACTTGTCTCTGAAATTATTGCAATGAACAATAATACTGTTTGGAGATCATTTTAAACTAATATGATACACTAGGGTTGGGTAAAATAGTATCGTGCACAATTAATTGTCAGAAAAACCTTTTAATCGATTTTTTTTTTGGCAGTTGACAATTAATATGATTAATGCCYCCAGGCAGACTGACTGGAGATTTCCCCGGTCACTCCGCTCAATGCTCCTCTACACTTCAAATATAACATTTTTTAAAAAATTTCTGTAGTTTATTTATCATAACTCTGGTTTTACTTGATCTATCAACACAATTCAAAAATTGATGTATAGTCTGAAGTCTGTACTTTTGACACAACTTGGAACAGATTTTTACAGAGAGCATATTTTTCCCACTAGTGATTTAAAATTGGTCATGTGACTATGATATGAGGCATTAAGGGACTCCAGGGGATTAATCATCATCATCATAATCATTATCAGCTAAATACCACAATTAATCATGATTCGTTTTTTTGCCAGTAATGTCCAACCCTATGATATACACGGACGGACCGGGAGCAGAGTTTGTGAAAATGAAATCCCTACCCGCCTCTACCCAAACTGGCACAATTTATTCTTTATGCGTCATCATCTGGCTTCAGAAAATAACTGCAGTCATCCGCTCATTGCTAACAAAGTTTACGGAAGTTTGTGAAATTTATGTAACGAAAATAAATAAATAAATAAATAATAATAAATTCTTGGCAAATCCTGAGGGCGTTCTGATACGACGCCATCTGAAAGAAGGCGTCTGAAAACCAAAGATGCTCCTCTGGCTAAATACCCGTTCACAAAACCATGCCCCTAGAAAATACCTGACGCCAGAGTTCACTCCTCCCTACGGTTAGAAGTCAAAAAGCAGAAATTTATCAACCTCACTTTAATTTATCAACTTAATTTTTATTTATCATGCGATTAAGTGATTTAGTGCTTATTGTGACAGGCCTATTTTATACCTTTAACTAATTTTAAGTGTAATTTTCAAAGACATACATGGTTTTTCTGTCACTGTCTGCTGTATTGTCAAATACGTTGCTGAGTAAATCTTAGTATTTTTCAGCGTAAAACTAAAACTACTATAAATAAAACAGATTTGAAAAGTATTTCTGTGGAAACGGTGTACGTCTTACTAGTCGTAGTTTTCACTTTGGCGAGTAAACTTAGCAGGAAGTATTATTCAGCTATGAAAATTAAGGACTCYTATTGTAATTCAGTATTATGGGCTTTTAAAAGAAAATTCACACAAACCTCAAAAGTGATCTCTAGAGTGTTTCTGGGCACCTGGAGGACTCCAGTTTCTGACAGCTCACCAGAAACACACACCCAGGGGTTGGCTGTGAACATGGAGCCACCCAGCTTCTTACTGGGAACGATGACGACATGATAGGGGATCACTGGAAGACACGAGAGGCGGGGGTTATTCTGGAAAGTCATATCGATAATATCAGTTTTAACTTGTGACTCACTGATAGTTGTGAAAACGTTGGTGAAACAGAAGTAATCCACAGCATTAAAGGACAGGAGGTGATACAGGAACTGCTCCTTCTCGTCGTCACAACGCAGGAAGGCGTAGCGCTTGTACAGTTTTCTGACGGGGAGACAAAGATCGTTAGAAAGTCGTTAATGATCCTCCAAGAYTCTACACTGTAGAGTCAGACAGAAATCCTCCTAACCCAGTCTGTCACCCGGGTATCAATTATGAAGAGGGCTGTGAATAATTCATGCAGTCTGGACGGCAGTTTGATGTTTTGTGATTTCAGAGGAAGTAATATATTATAAATGGTGGGATCTCAAACAACACTATCTCCCTTTCACGCGAGCCAGGCATTCTTACAGAAGACGAGAAAGAAGGTCGTGACAAGAACAAAAGAGGCTGCAGGAGACACCGCGCTCTTTAAAAGACGGTTTCACGTTGTGGCGGCTGCAGAACTCTCTGCAGAAAGAAGAAGTGAGGCTGTGGTGCTGAACCYTTCCGCTCACTTTGTAAGCTCGTGCTCCGACAGCAGCTGCTTCAGGTGTCTGGAGAGCAGCTTCTTCTCCATGGAGAGGCGAACCCAGGCTCTCGCCTTGCCCACGTCGGTCTTGATCTCACTGATATTCTGGATATGTCTGCAAAATGAAAGAAAGCAAGTTAAGGAATAAGTAGAGAGAATACATACGCACAAAACTGTTCAATATTTATGGTTAATTACGTAAATACAGTTTATTGTCGTCATTTTTATGAACATACAGGCCGTTTTATTTTCATAAATGTCACAAAATAGTGATAAATGCAGGTTTTAGACTGCAAAGTGATTTATATATACAAGATATACAACTGCTATAAGAAAATGTTTGCAATTTATTAAAAACTATTTGATTTTTAGTTTAGTTTATTCATTTCATTTAAAACAAAAAATACATTCAAAAAACATAAAACAAAATGAAAATAATAATAATTAAATGAAATTAAATAAAATTAAATGAAAGGTAGCAGAAGAAGAAAAAAATCTATCTGACCCCATTTTTAAAAATAACATTAAATTCAATAATCAAACAATGGTTTCAATCAGTATATTGTCAATAAATCTTCAATTATCAAAATAAGACAAAAAAGATTACTCCTTTTTAGAGCATCAATTCGTACTAATAACAATAAACCAGAATATAATCACATTTAACTTGAAAAGAGTGGAAAGAAGACAAACTTATTTATTCCCACTCCCTATTCAAATATATAAATTATGTGTTTGCTGCTGACATTTGAGATGTGATACATTGTGTAAATATTTTCCGTTTCTTTTTTCTCTCTTCTTTCCTTGTTCCTTTCCTTCTGTTTTCAATGTGATGCATTTTCTTGCTAATACCACTCATGTCACCCATAACGTCATCACCAAATCAATCCTGCAGTTATATATTATAGGTGATTATTAAAGACAGTACATAATATTTGTTTATGCTTCCATTTATAATAAAAATGTAATTTAATAATTACATTAAGGTATTGGTGCAAATTGTATTCATGAGTTGTAATTATGATTTCAAAGATCCTTTCATTACTGTTGGCAGAKAACAACGCTGAGTTTGTATAAATCTATTCATTTTAGGCACTGATCAAAGCTGAGTCGAACAAAAGGAAACCTCTCAGTGTTTTCAGTTTCCTTTCATGTGAAAGTGGCTGCTGTTCCACTGCTCCGAGCCACTATCATGTCTCTGATGTCCAGACACATTTCCTTCCACTTCACCTGTGCCGTACGAGTCTCCTCCTCCCACTTCCATCCCCCGTACTCTGTCTCCACCCTCACCCARACCAAATAACCCAGATTTTCGTCTCAGACGTTACTACGAGCTYACYAAAGCAACATGACTGCTAGCTTTGAAATGTGAGAAATGAATACTGTAGTATCTGTTTGGAACAGATTCAAACTTAGGAACAATGATGAACTTTATCTCAAACACAGAGGAGGGTCCGTCGATCAGAACCGAGTAAAGCTGCATGTTTATGTCCTGAGATGACCCCAGCCCTCCCTCCTCTTCCTCCTCATCGTCTCAGACAGACGAGAGCTCTGGTAATRAGGCTGGAAGTAACGCGCTGGTCCGCACCGACTCACTCTGCCTCTTTTTCACGCAAGCCCAGATTCCTCAACTCCGGCTGATTGTAGAGGATAATCTGACAGTCGGGTCTAACGTCACACCAAAACAAAAACAGGAGCTCTTCACCTCATTCACTCTCACTTGTAGGGAAAAAAATACAACCAATTGTTTTATTTTAACACCACCACAAGAGAACTATCTGTCGGAGACACCAAGGTTATCAAAATGTGGCCTCTTGCAAGCTGTTCTTGAAGCAGTCCAACTTTTTTACAATCATATTTTTATAAATTTATGTGTAAATTTTCTTTCTTTTCTTTTAAATGTCTTTTTATTAATTATTAGCAATATGC